CACAACTCTCTAGATGGAGTCTGGTAGCTAATGCATATCAATGAACATGAGACGTCATCAAATATATCCGAGGACCATAATCAATGGTGAACATGGTGCTATTTCCTCCGTTTCTGACAATAGCGTTTTTTAATAATAATAATAATAAAAGGTATTTGAGTGATATACATAGGGTTCAGTGAAATGTTTCTCCTTTAGGTGTTTCATTGATTTCACCAATATATTCAGTCACTGAGTAACAACGGTAGAAGAAAAGAGACTTGGTAACGGGGTGTTTATTTGGAATTTGACATCTCAATATAAGGAAATTATGTACTTCTTATCTTCAAATCACCATTTGCCCAGATCTTCCGTGTTGTGCTGCTTCTGCTCTTCCTTCGTATTGTGTTTCTTTGTCTTCTTTTCGTGTCTTCCATGCTGGTTCATTGCTCGTCTTTGAAATCAGATCTATCTCTCAGCTAGTTGATATTTTTCCGACCTACGAGCGTCCCTTCTTATACTACTGATAAATCTTGTCAGTAGTACATGCCACAACTGCTACTAGTGTTTATTGAAAAGAAGATACTAGTGATATATTTTATAGTCCAATAAATATTCTTGTGCGTTATTGTCAATTAAAACTTTTATCACTCTTTTCACCAGTTTTTCTCTGTTTTTTTGTGTATTTATACAGGAACTAGAGAATGTTCGTTATTATGCTAATATGAGTCATCAAATTCAACATCATGATATCTGGCGTCATATGCCATTTTGGGAGAGTGTTTTCAACGAACAAGTTAACAATCAGATACGTTTGTTGTATATTGATTTTTCTGAAGAAGAACTGAAATCTCACAAACAGCAACAGCAACAACAGCAATCCAACCAAAATCATGTCGGAAATCTGCCTAATGGTCATGCATCATCAACAACAACAAGCAATGGTATTAGAAAACAGTGTAAAAGTCCATCGTCTCCTGAGAAGGATGGTATATCCATTGTCATTGTTGGACGTAATGGTAATCAGAAATCATCTAATGTAAGTCGTTTGCTTCGCATTATCTGATGCTATTCCTACGTCTATGAAGAATTAGGCTTTGTATTGGTTAACAAACATATCCTAATACGTGAATGTTTACTTCTTCTCTTTCTTTGTCCTCTTCTGAGAGGAGTTCACATAAACGTGTATCCATTGACTTTTGATGTGTTTAGATTGAAAATCGCTAGCTCCAGTCGGGTGAGATGAGTGTATACACTACTGAGGAGTCTCAGAATAGAGCAACAAAAAAGACCCTCGACAACACAATATGAAGACATAGTTTATCTGAAACGTGTAATTTATTGGCGCAACACATTTCGGAAATGCTGATCACACACGTACTTGTCATACACAGTTTTTATAGAATGCATGAATAATTACAATACATGTCAGATTGTGTACAGGTCAAGGTCACAAATAATGGGTAGGGAGACGCAAAAGGTGTGAGTAAGAAAGAGAAAAAGAGAAAAACAATGCAAAGAAGGGGTTGAAAATATTATGAAGTAAATTGGACCTTGGTTCTAAATCGGATTACCAAGTCAGGTTTAAGGTGATAACAAATAACTTTTGAACACATAGGACAGGTTTAAGTCTCTTTACGGCTAAGGCTTCAATGAATTTAAGTATGTGGCTCAACCTCGCTTTATATATCGGCGTAAAGGCATTGTTGAAATTAACCTTATGACCTGTCTCTATGATGTGCTTCGCTATAGATGATGTTGGACATCTATTGCCGGGGTCAGTTTTGTTTGGAGATTTCATTTGTTGTTGCAGCCACTTTGGAATGTGTTCTGTAGCCCTAACCTGCGGAGACCGATGGATCCTCCCTATGTACATGTCTCCACACATACATGTAAATTGATAAACACAGTGGGATGTGACACTATGGTTCAGATAATGTGAGGGCCTACAGGGCAGTATAGTTCTCATTTTCTCTACGAGGATAATCTTAACTGCATAATAAGTTCTATAAACTGCTGCCTTGAGTCTTTGTCTAGTGACCAGACTTTGTTGATCACCTCTGAACGGCAAGGATATGTAAACATCCTTTTTGGGAGCTGATTGGATTGGTAGAGCTCTATGATTGACGCTTCCGTAACGTGTAATTAATCTCAGTGGGTGATTGTTCTCTAACAATATCTCAGTGAGGTGTTGTCTTTCTTCTTCAGTTGTATCAGCAGTACATATACGGTGAATGCGCTTGAACAAACATTTAAACAACGCTTTTTGATACTGTAATGGACAGAAACTATGATAATTTAGATACTGTCCCGTCCGTGTGGACTTTCTGTAGACAGATCGTTTTACTGACCCATCTTCTCGACGGGTTATGAGTACATCTAAAAATGGCAGACAACCATTATTCTCTTTAAGGTATGTTAGCGGTCTGACTTGTATTGTAACCATTCATGCATTCTTGCCTTCTATAAAAACTGTGTATGACAAGTACGTGTGTGGTCGGGATGTCCGAAATGTGTTGCACCGATACATTACACGTTTCAGATACACTACGTCTTCTTATTGTGTTGTCAAAATTCATAAAGGGAACTAATTGCTTTAAAAAAGACCCTGTCCAGTACGCCTTGATTTTCAGTCATTTTGCTAACCAACTTCAATTCGTGATGAAGTCCAGTGGAAGTCAGGACTGAATGTCAATCGCTGCTGTGTATCGTCTCTTCCCACTTAACTACATTACTTTTTCCTCTGTCTCACCCTATTGTTGTGTGATCATATACGAGTGAATTTATTGCAATGGTCGAGCTTTTATCTAGGGTCAATCATTCTAACTCTAGCTAGTTTTTTTTAAGGCATCGTGAAATAACCAGCTTATTATATTCAGAACATGAGATATAAAGCTAGTAGGAATGTTAGTCTAAATCTGACTACGGGAATCTTTAATATCTCACTTATGCATGCCTAACTAATTATCATAAATTGAAGTTTTCGTCTGCCAGTATTACTATTATTCCCCTGGGTTCCGAGCGGAACATAGGGAATCACAACACATCTCCCCTTTGTTCTATTTTCTGTTGTCCTCATCAAATCGCTAACTCCACGATTGCCCACAATTTCTCATCTCCTCCTCGCTACACGATCTTCTCCATGTCACCGTCCCATTGATGACCCACGTGTCGGTTCCCATTAGGATTCACTCGAGTGATGGGCTGGTTAACGCGCGATGTCATTCGATGGCCTCCTCAATGTATGCCAGACCCATCTCCATTTTCCCCTACTTATTTGTTGAGCAATTGGCTCTTGTTGCTCATTGTTTCTGGCCGGCCATTTAATCTTCATTATGGAGCCAGTGAAGACAGCTGTTGCTGAAAGTCTACAGTAGCCTGTTGGGAGTGCTTTCTGTGACGCGCCAAGTTTCTGACTCGTATCGAAGAACTGACTGACTTGACATTTGTGTTGAAAATCCGAATCTTGTTCTGTATGCTGAGTAGTTAGTGCAGAAGATTTTCAAACTGGTGTCAGGTTGATGAAAGCGTATCTTGCCTTTCCGATTCTGGCCTTCCTGGACATCTTTATCCGTCCCATCTGGCTGTGGTTGAAACCGTGCTTCCTGGCCGGATAAGTGAAGGAAGTAACCTCTTTCAAATCTCTCCCGTTGTTGGTGATTGGTGCTGGTTATTATTGTTGGTGTTGATCAGTTATCTTCCTTACCTCGGTCTTCTCTATGTTCACGTGCAGTCATGTCTTTGCTGTGCTTATTCTGCTACTTTGTTGGTTTTTGCCTGCAAGTCTCCGAGTTTGTATGACACTAAACATAAATCATCTGCGAAGTCCAGATCTTCTGGAGTTTTCTTGTTGGTCCAGCTTATTCCTGTCTTCTCACTCTCCACTCATGTTGTGCCGCATAATCCAGTTCACCACAATTAAGAATATAAATCATCCGTGGTGATAATAAGCAGCCTTGTGGCACACCTGTATTCATTTCCAACGCCTCGCTAAGTTTTCGATTGTAGGTTATCTGACATGTGTTATTGTCGTATGTTGAATGAGGTCGATAAATGGATGGAGCACGCCGTAGTGTTGAAGTAGTTTCCAAATTACTTCTCGGTTAACGCTGTCTGTCGAAGGCCTTTTCAAAGTCGTGCCTATTAGTATGGGCTGTTATACTGCCAGGCCACTGAAATATGGTAGAATAATAAATATGTCTAAATTCCTGTTGACTAGTAATCACATGCGTGTTTATAGTCTATCAGCGACATATTTATCTTATACAGTTGTCAACTGAGTTTTATTATCGCGTGCGATAGTAGATAACATTATCACACTGTGCCGCAACTTATGGAATGTGCAAGACATAATAAATCATCATACCGAAGTTGACCCAGTCCAGAGTGACCATTTAGATTTTTGTCTAGAGGTAATTTAACTGCATATCTTTCCTCTCTAATTGTATGAAGTTTGACATTTTTGTACAAAAATTCCAGGTGGTTAGTTTAGTTAGTAACTAGTGTCCAATTAAAGTATCCATTACAATCTTACATCAGGTCAATAGCGAGCCAAAGTAGCTCAATGGTGGTGACGTCTGTAACTTCATGTGACATGGGTTCGAATCTCAGAAGGGACATGAGTTCCTTTTGAATGCCAACAAGTACGAAACCTAAGTTGGGTGTGACTTCCTGTGACTGATTCCCTCCAACCATCTAAAATGAACAGTATCGGTGTGACTATATTGCAGAACTCTTCGATTGAATTCAATTTAGACTAGACAGCCTTTTATAAGGACACTTATTGTACATGATTGCTGTAGTAAATATATTTTCTAGTTATCCTGCCCAAGATCTTTTATTTCTTCAGACTTGTTGATACCACATCAGTAGTTCCTACAGTCAATTGTGCTGACGGACTGATGAAGGCGGATAATGATTAAGAAATCGTTTTCTGTTTATGGAAATGTACTAACAGTCCTTAGTTTTCTGCTGCCTTCGAATACCTACAGTTGAAACAGGATTAGTGTGAGTGAGGCCGATCTCACGCGACCTGTTCGAAGTGGTTATCGAAAATCTCGTCAGTTTTATGAGGTGCTACTGCCTCTAGATGAGTCGGTATGTACGATATCTGGGGTTGACCTTTGCTATCCTCCTATCATCTGAGTATGGAGAAGCAACATAGCAGATTTGTGTGTAATTTCTGGATAACGCCTTTTCCAGTGGTGTACGACTTCTCACTCAGATCCCACTATATATGTAGTGTGAGCGAATTACACTATGATTGCAAATACTTTTAGTTTAAACTCTATCCAAACGACCTGTCTGGAATGGTACGTCCTCTAGGAATATTGGTTCCAACCAGTCTAGATATTCAGGTTATTTACCATATCCTATCACGAACACCATATTGAGGTAGTAGTTATCACTCTCAGTAGTTATTTGCGGTAGTGATATTTGCCGTCAGGCTTCAACAATCTGGGTGAAATAAAAACCCTATCAGAACACGTACGTTTGGTTGTTTGTTCATAGAAGGTGGAATTCATTAAAAAAAATCACACTCTTCGTGTTTAATAAAATAATTGGTTGACCTACTTACAATAAATGTCACACCACTGTATAGTATAGTGTATCATATTCACTTTAATGATCGATATCTGCCCTTACGGTTGTGATTATTTTATACTGTGAAATCTATTGTACAGGTGTTGTCATCAACGACTATTGTTTGGAGATGATCATGAGCTGACATCAGTTAAACAACTATTGGAAAAAGCAGCTCGGTGTACTGGACGGCTGTTTCGTCCTGATTTGGAACTCTTCAACCACAAAGGTGTGAACCCGGAACCTACCAACAGGTTGCATTGCGATCTCTTAGACCATTCAGCCACTGGGACTCGACGCAGTGATCCATGAACTGAAGTGGTAACCACCGGTATCTGTCAAGTCAGGCAAGAGTACAGTTACTCGCAAGCGACTATAGGTTGACAGTTGCACTAACTATCGCGAATTTGCAAACATTGGAATTCATGAACCATAGGATTCAGTCCCAGTGGATGAAATGGTTTACGAGTTCATCTTGTAACAGGGAGGTCCTGGGTTCGAACCCTTGTGGGGTTTCATGTAGGTACATTGTTGAAGAATCTTAAACTAGGACGAAACAGCTGTCCAACCCTCCAATGGTTCTCTAACTGATATCATCTTGTGTTCAATCCTGTGAACAATCAAATCCGTGCGAATAAACACTTGATAATAACTGTTCTAACTGATGTTTTTCATGCGCTTTTTGTCAATACTTCTTTTAAGCGCTTCCATTGTAAGAACAGAAGACAAGGGCCAGGCAACAGATCGTTTATTTAGGAAAATCAACACATATTTATAGCTTTTCATGTACATTATTATAGATTATTTAAGCAAACAAACACTCCTCTGATTGGTGGTGGTTTCTCACTGAAAGTTAATGTTTCATCTCTTTGTGGCTGTTTCTTGAATGTCAGATCATCTATATGCTAACTGTTCCGGTCTACGCAAAATCTTTGTTCTCACTTTTCACACGACCAATATTAGAGACATAAGCATTGACGTAAATTACTGTCTACCAACTTTGGCTAGCAGCCAGCTCTTACCACACCATTACCGTCTTTTATCTCTTCAAGTCTGTAATTATGCATGTTAACAAACTGTTACTCTGTGTCGATTAAAAAAAAGTTCCATACTATCATTTTCAGACATGAGTTAATGATAAGCCATTTAATCCGTAGTGTGTCATTAGCTTTTGTGATTAGGACATGTTTCATGACTGTCATAAATCCGTTAAACCATTCTGTAATAATGACCGAGTTTACGTATGCATGGGACCATAATCATCATTATTGATTCTCAACGGTGAGATGTAAAAGAAGAAGCCAATCAGGCATTTGTTTTTCCAAGCTCTGAGCCTTTCTTACTTTCAGATTAACTCAATGCATCATCTTCCTGTGGATATGTAGCTAATTTGCTTTAAATCTCTGACTGACTGACAAATTTCAACGTAGAACTTTGCACAGAAGTACACCAGTTGTAGTTGCTACACTCCACTCCATGTAGCCCACAAAGCAAGAGAACAGAGTAAAGAGAGGTGCAAAGTAGCGATAATAAACAGAAGTGTGAGTGAGAGAAAAAGAATAGGAAGAATATGGAAGAAGAATACGGTTTTATTTGATATGACAAATCACAAAGAGTGAATGAATCTGCACCAGTCATTGACAACGAGGATTTCGAACTATATCTCCAATTTTCTCTAGCCGTCATTGGTGCTTACCATCCCGAGGATGCCAACCAGCTATTCTGCACCTCCCTACTGTTATGAATCTGACTGACTGATCAAGCCATGTTTTCGTTTGACCACCACTGGCTTTCTTTTTTCCAACCTGATCAGTCCCATGTCAGCTAACACTGCGCATCGAGGAAGGCGATGGATGGCTAGGGACGCATGCTTAACACATGTCCTAACTATCACAACCTAGCACTCGACCGATGCGTCACCTCAATGTTGCTCACCCTATTACACCTACCATCTAACATGGGAGATAGAACGCAGACACCTATGATCAAAGGCAGCTAGTCTTTCCACCTATCTCCCACTTTCAATGGCCATGTCTCACAACCAGCCATAAAGGAGAATGGAGCGAGTTTTCGAACCTCTCTTTATCCGCTTTATTAGCGTGGATGACCAGGTATTCTCATCAGCTTTCACACAATATGAGTGCCTCATAGCCTAATACATAAGAAATCTGTTCCAAGTACTGACTAACTGACTGAGTTTCAACATAGAACTTTGCACAGAAGTGCAGCACTACAAGTCTCCACCCTCCTTGTAGGTACACAAACGTAGTGAAATGTATGGGAGAAAATCTTGTAACAGGAAAACCCGACAGCTTAGTCGATGTGTACGATCACAAAGAATGAATGCATCTGTGCCATTGAGAACACTTTAAACCATATCACTAACACTATTGAGCCATTGGTTCTCGGCATCCGGAGGACCCCAACCAGACAGCCTACACCTCATCACTTGACTCATGTCAACTTTCAAATACTTCATGTACTGATACGAGCTTTTAGATTGACCCCGCCCACCTCATTCTCTTCCTCCAGCCAACCATTTTCTAACTCATCTTCCTGAAAAACTCATATCTCACATCATTTCTACGTATCCAGTATGAGTAATGTAGACTAGAATATAACACATGGTATGCTCTATTCTTTCTCTCCGTTAAAAAAAATACATAGAGATTTTCAAGAATAAGTTATTTTCTCACACTAAGAAAATATTTATGCAGAGACTAACAAACTAACAAGGTCTGATAGATTTTTGTATGTGTGTCTATCATATGCATTCTGTTGAGGTCAAAATAGCAAACAAAGTGAATGAAAATAAGTCAAAACTAAAGCTGTAAAAATTCCTATTGACTAATACTAGGTGCACTGTAGTGGAAACGATTTCACCTAGCTATTCTACAGATAGGTTAGTTCAACTGTATGACTGATTAATGCCTTCGGAATGCGAATAGTTTTGTAGGATTAGTCTAAAGTATTCTCTTTTTTACACTCAGTAAGTGAATAACGTGATGTCATAGTGTGTGTGTACGTGTTGCTTGCTGTTATCCGGTCAAAAAAACGGAATTAGAAAATGTTTAACCCCTAGATGTCTTGAAAATCGATACCGTGTAGTGTGGTAGGATGCAGGGGGTGTTAAGGTGGGATGAACTAGACAAGGAGAGGTAATTAAGGCATAAGGCGCGTCGGTGACACAGCGGTTAGGACGCTCACCAACCATGCACATGGTCCGGGGTTCGATCCCTGGCCGACGCACACCCGACATCAATGGTCAGCCTGCCGATGTGGGCTACCGATATCACATGCTGAAAATTTCATACTTGTAGCAAAAATACGGTGTGGAGTCAAGCTAGAGTAAAAAATATAAAAAATAATTGTTGTCAAATTCACCGTTTCGGTTAGTTTTCATATCTCACTTGTTGTATTAATTTAATTTTCTTTTTTCAACTTCGTTTCTTGTTCGTTGAAAAGATCACAGTTCAACAACAGATTTATACCTCAAATATGTCATCGCTAGAAATAGCTGCTGAAGAAATGCGTATCGGTAATACACGTCCACGTGAAATACAACAGGCTTTAGAAACCCGTGAAGAAAGTACTCTCTATGCTCAGATTATACACTTTATCAATTTGATTGTTAACTTTCGTATACCTGTACATATTGGTGCTGCTGTAGCAGATTTATATAGTGAAGAAGCACAGAATAATGATTCCTCCCTACACATGCCTTTACGTAACGATACTACAACAGATCATAATAGGCTGTCATCAGCATATGGAGGCAGTAATAATAACAGAATGTCAAGCGACAGTAATACAAGACGTCAACAATCCTCGCGTAGTCTGTCAACAAATGATCCACCAGCAGCTAATCAAATGAATAATGCTCTTCAGTTTATGTCACAGAATGATGGATTTGTTAAAGGCAATAGTTCGTATTATATGGATAATTATTCAAATAGTGTACTAACTGCTGAAGGATTTTATAGGTGAGTATTACTGATTATTTTTTTCTTTTCTGTCAGTTCGTGACTGTTTTATTCAACACAGTAGCTGAATGTTCAGTGAGTGTTCGCCTTGTAAAAATGAAAGTCCTGGGTTCGATCCCCCGGTAGACACATTGGTGAGTACTGATGATGAGGAGTCCCAAACTGGGACGAAACAAATATACAGTACTCGCTGCTAGTTTTCAATGATTCTCTCTAACTGATATCAGTCCGTAATCAAACTTGAAACCAATCAGATTCTTCCAAACTAAAACTTGAAAACTATTCTGGTTGGTTCTTTTCTTCCTTTTTGTAAAAAGGACTATAACGGATAAGCGTTTAAAGTCATTTCCGACAGCAGGACTGTAATAAAATTTTGGAACTGTGGTAGAGCATGATTCTATATTAGAGTAATTTTATTTTGATAAAAACACCTTGTTACAGTATTATTTTCTGGCGCGCTGGCGGTTCAGTGGTAGGACGCTCGCTAACCTGCATGTCATCCGACTTTGATTAGCTGCCCGACACATTGTTAAACCTTGCTTAGCCGATAGTATGCCCACTAAAGAGGGAAGGTTGAGTGTGGGGTCAGCAATCCCCATCTGCCTGCCCAAACCTGGGTAAGTGACATGCGGGGTTCTGAGTAGTGACCTAGTGGTTGAAAGTCAAGTGCCTAAACCAATGAGACGTAGCTCTGATTTATTAGATGGTTGGAAGCAGTCGAGAGGAAGCCCACTCGGCGCCCAATTATTCTGGAATTATTCAGTCAAATCTTGATCATAGTTCATATGAATGAATATATTATTCCATCTTATAGTTACTCCATGCAATTCATTTCCTGATATAATTCTAACGTATCTTTAATCGGCTATTGTATTCCAAAATTAGTGGATTTATAATTATATAGCCTAAAGAAGAATTTATTGAAAACAATTTCTCCCTCTAATTATTCTTTTTTTTGCTGAACAAATTAACTCCTATTCCATATTCATTTGTTCCAAAGGCAAACAAATCGAACACCTTTTTCGTCTGCAAAAGGGTGTATCGAACGAATAATTACCTTTCAGCTGGGACTGGTACTTGTGTATTCAACATTTGGCATAGTTTCTTGACCTTCTTGTTCCAAAGAATATTAAGAGATTAGGATATATTTTATTCCGTCGTAGTGGTTTCCAGAACCATTTCAGATTTTCGTCGTTACTGACACATTCATTGGAAAAGTTGATTTCCACGTTCACTACAACAAACTTGTTAGAGTACCTCAGAAACCTATTTAGTTCCTTGACTGTCGAGTTGTCCTTGCCTACTTTTTATTGAACTGACCGAAAAGAGCCTCTTCTCTGAACTACTTCTTTTTTTCTCATCAATGTCTGGATAGGGGATTATTCATAGAATAAAATGTAGCAAGGAACCCCTTCAACAGTCAACGAGCTAAATGGGTTTCTGAGGTACTCTGTCAGGCCTGCTATAGTGAATGCAAAAATCAATTTTTTCGATATTTGTGTCGGTAATCGTGAATATCTGAAATGGTTGTGGAAAGCGTCGTGACCGAATCATATATATATATATATATATCCTAATACGAAGTCACATGTAGACGTCACGATTGCTTAATTCACTTTTCTGAAATATATCTAATTACCTTAGAGCTATCGATTTTCGCTATGTGAAAAGGCCGTAATCGATTTCGAAGTATAATCCTATTAGGCGCGGACATATTGAAAAAATCGAGTCTTTTAAATATCAATCCTCGAAGTCAGTGAGACGCTAACTGTATTATTTCAGTGTGTAAAATAAATTTCTGTGTCATATAGAAAAGTCAGCAATATCAGGAAACCTTTGTATCCAATCAGCGTACACCATAAAAAGGTTCACATGACTAGCTAGTGAGTGTCAGAATCAATGAATTACACTGTCATCGAGTGGTATGGCACATGTGTATAATTAAGACTGCAATAAATTTATTCTTTTACCGCTGCCATTTCGTGGAATTTAATTCAGAAATATACTTTTATATCAATAAATGGATAGCGAATTGAGCTGAGATTTCAAACAGTTTGACATTTAATTATAGCAAGTAAACACTACGTTTTTTGACAGAGCAATAAGAAGACGTAATTTGTCTGAATCGTGTAATGTATTTGCGCAACACATTTCGAACAATCTGATCACACACGGACTTGTCATAGGAATATATATGAAATTAATAAAGAGTTAAGAGGTGAGAAAATAGACTAAGGTCAAGTTAAAAGGACATATTGAAGGTCAAAATAACAATGAAGACCACTAAACCAAATAACAGAAGTAATAGTACATCTGCTATGGTATCAAAACAAAACAAGTTTACCAAGGAAGGTTTAGTGTGATGACGAATTGTTTTTGAACGCATAAAGGTGGTTTAAACTTCCTAATTGCCAGCTAGGGCTTCCACAAACTTAAGGATACGCCCCAACACACGTTTTATGGATGGATAGGTTTAAAAGATGTGTTAACATCAATTTTATGTCCTGTCTCTATAATATGTTTCGCAATAGAGGAGCTAGGTCTCCTGTTCTCACGATTAATGGGTTCTGGGGATTCTATTTGTTTCTGGAGCCATTTAGGAATGTGCTCTGAAGCCATCCCTTATTTGCAGAGATCGATGAGTCCTCCCTATGTATGTGTGTCCACACGTACATTCAAATTGGTAAATACAGTGGGATGTGACATCATTTTTCGCATGTTCGAAGGGCTTAGATAGATATATTGGCTTCACATTCTCTATTATTATGATATTGGCTGCATAAAAAGTCTTTAACAACAACATTCAATCTTTGTCTAGTTATCAAGCTGCTATGATGCTCCATATAGAGGGTAGCTTGATGTACACGTCTTTCTTAGGGGCGAGTTGTAGAGTGGGTCTTGGTGTTCCACTGACTACTTTATATCTCCTGATGAACTTGTCTGGATAATTGTTATCAACCAGAGTTTGTGTCAACTTTCTTTCTTCTTCATCAAGTGTGTCTTCAGTGCATATTCGTTGGATTCTACTGAAGAGGCACCTTACTAAGGCTCTTTTTTTTACTGTTTTTTGACGTATACTCAAACCATCCACTTTTGTAAGTAGCTCTAGGTGTATCCCGTGGTCACTCATATATCAATGAAGTAAACTGTGACTTTGATTGGACACTAGGTAGTAGCTATTATCATGCGTCTAGGGTCCTTCGTTTAATGTAGACTGAATTTTCTCAGTCAAGTTTGCAGCGCTGGGTGACATGGGTTAGAATCTCTGAGGGGACATGAGTTCCTCCAAGGTTGCAGATACACCTTGCTGACTGATGAATGCCAACAAGCACAAAACCTAGATCTGTGGCTTCTTGCCGACTACTAGTCAATGTTAACGGTGAGTATTTGTCGTCACACCCGACTTGCTGTGTACCTCCTCCTGATCACTACTTCCCACAAGAACCCAGGTACCTTGGTCGCGCTATATCGTCAATTGGCAGAAGTTGGAATTCATGGGATGGCCATTGATTTGGATTCTGGTGGCTTAATGGTTTACGAGTTTACTTTGTAATTGAACAGTCCTTGGTTCGACCCCTTCTGGTGGATGCGTACTGATGAGGAAGAGTCCGAAACTAGGACGAAACAACTGTCCAGCTCTCCCTAAACCAGAATTCGTGTAAAAGAAATAATAATAACAATAATAATTCAGTCATTTGGCATCTAGACGAAAAGAAAAAATAGACACTAGGATGTATTCCTCCTCTTCTTCTTTTTCTCTCATCACATTATCTAAAAATTTCAAGTGAAATGTTGTAACAAGCACAAAAAAATTGATTGAAATTACAATAACGCATAAAAATCTAGACACTAGTTAGATGATGATTGACTTGATTTAATCGATACATTATCTACACTTCTGTTCACCTTCATCCACTATGTCCCTCCCTCTCACTCTGGTTACATACATGCATGCATGCAACATATGGTGTTGCCAACAGTGTTATGCAGTTATAATTGAACTATGCTAGAATATGTAATACTGTTACTATTACTACTACGGCTAGACAGATAGGCACAGACGTATGAAGAAGAAAAAACACATTATTACACCATCGACAGTTTTTCTGATATTATACACTGTCAAAATTCGAATAGTTTGCTGTGAACTGAACTGTGCAAGTAGTAGTGGTTGCATATTACCTGTGTCTGGTTCTAAGGATGATCATATAACAGTGGTGGTAGGTGTGTTTGGCATGCATTAGCATGCACATATATGTGTATGCATTTGCATAAATACAGGATATATGTAACGCTTATATATATATATATATATATATATATATATCGATTTAACACCCGGTCATTTTGCTACCTACCGAATTCCCTAGGGCTTATTAAAGTAATTGTAAAAAAATATCCTTCAGTATGCTGGGGAATAACTGTGAAAATTTATCATGCACATATATATGTACATAGTCCTATTTTTGATTGGGCACAAGATGATTGATTAACTTGCTTGACTGGTTTCAACGTAGAACTTTGCTGCACAGATGTGCAGCAGTTCGAGTTGCCACTGTCACTACATGTAGCACGAAGCTAGAGGAACCAAACCAAAAAGGCAGTTCAGACAGGCTGTGTGTGACCGGCCTCAAGCAGTTATCCCCTGGGTTGCTTTGTGGTCACACAGCACTACTTCTCTCTTTCTGTTTCAAGTACCCCAAGAAAAAAATCTTCCACGGTGTAGGCGATGGGGAAGTCACAACTGCCGCTCACGCATTTCCAAAAGAACACTAGGTCCTGGGCACAAGGTAGTAAGTAATTAATGTCAGGCGTCTAGTCCTTGGTGTTGGTGCAGACTTTTTTATTCCTTTACGTTCCCAGTGTTGATATTTTACAGGATGGGTTTGCTAGCCTCATGCCAAACCTTCCCTCTTTACCAGTCTTGTTGCTGGCTTAGCGAGGTAAAGGAGTGCGTCAGCTTGACGACATGTGTGGTTGGCGAGCATTCTACCACTGTGCCACCGACGCACACATCAAGGATGTGTACATCCTTTTTCCACGATGACAAGGAGTAATTTGTAGGCACTAAGAGTGTCATTAGTCCGGAATGATGTAAGTTGTTAAA